CCTCCCCTTGTAGCCGAGCGCAGCGTGTAAGTCCAGGCAGCGCCACGCGGCTGCCCAAGCGCCACTTACGGATCCCAGCCACAGGGCCTGGAAGGAAACGAGGACGAACTTGGGGCTGACGTGCGACGCGGAAGCGGCCCAGCCTCCCTCGGACACCGCGAGGCCGCAGCCCGCCCCCAAGAAAGCAGCGAGCACAAGCAGCCCGCTCAGCAGGGCGGCCGCGCGGCACGGCCTGCTCCGTGGAAGGACTGCTGGGGAGGCGGACCGGGGAGCTGCGCTCGCGACATCCTGGCCGCGCCGCAACGCCTCCAGCACCGAATGCGCGTCCCACGAAATCACTGGCTGCAGCATGAGGTCCTCGAGCTCTCCACCATGCTCTCCACTCCACCCGCAGGCCCCCGAACGGCCTCAGAGCCCAATACGACCTCCAAACCGGCTCAAGATGGCCCCCAAGATGCTCTAAGAGGCCCCAAGACCGTTCCAAGACGGCTCGAAATGGCCACGGAGCCTCCCCAGGAGGCCGCCAAGGAGCCAAAATCCTTCAAAAACCGGGATAACACCAATGAGTGTGGCCTTCTCGCCTTTTTGTTGCCGATGGCCTTCCGAGGCCTCATCACGCCGTCCAGGCCAGCCCCCCTCGCTGTTTGATGACGCGTGTCTCGTCCTCTCTCCCCCCGTCAGCTCTCATGGGCATCGTTCCCGGGTTAGGGTGGTGGGGATATTGTTTGGTTCGCGGGCTCGCGAAGCAAGTCGAAGGCCGGGCATAGCTGGGGCGGGCCGCGCCGAACCAACAGGGAAAAACAATACGGAGCGACGCCCGGCTCAGACACGGGCTCAGCGCCCAACAGGACGTAAGAACTGGCAGAACGGCACGATGACCATGACGAGGGAGTCCGAGTGCGCCACACTTACCCCGGGCGGCGCTGACCAGGAGAAAAAACCAAGCGGCCAAACCATGCCCCCCAGGTACCTTGCCGAACACGAAGTCCTGGACCCGGAAGGTCTTCACGTGGAGGAGGGCAAGCGAGCCAACAGGAGCAGCGGGAACGCCTCCGAGACGGGCGGGGATGGCAGAGTAAGAGCGACACCAGGCGCCGTGGAAGTAAACAGCCTCCAGGCACCGTGTAGGGCGCGCAAACGAACGTCGACACGTAGGGGACAAGCACCGCGAGGAAGAAGCGGAGGACGGTCGGGCTGTGGCCGCTCCAGGCCCGCCCCCGAGCAGTTCAAAGGCCCCCCAGGCAGGGGCAGCGCGGGCACGGAAGCCACGAGCAGCGCTACCAGCCATCAGGGCGCCCAGCGCGCCGAGACCTGGAGGCAGGCTGGTGGGGATACGATTTGGTCCGCGGACGCGCGAAACGAGTCGAACGCCGAGCGTGCTAGGGCTGCTAG